AAAAGCCAGTACCGCGAATTTTCCATAAATTGCTTGAAGTTTGATAATGGAAGGTGGCCATAAGGCATTTAGTTAGTCCGTAACAATTTTTGAAAACGGGATGGGAAACTAAAACTTGGTGAGGCAGCGAGGAAAATGTATTGCTGCTTGTGGTGTTTAAGATAAACTCCTCATGATGTGCCTTTGAAACGGAAGGAGAATATAGGAAACCGGCGGAGGAAATATTCTCTTTCACTGATTCAAAAATTGTCGGTCTCAAAACACGGTTGGAGTATACCCATTTTAATTAAGCAGGATGTTTCAATAAGGAATTACCTATATTGACATCATATACAAGGAACTTAGTTCATTCCAGTGAGATACATAGATTCAAATTCAATACAACAAACAAGAATAAAGGAAACTAAGTTCTATAAATTTCCTGCCGGACTGAACAAATGATAAAGAGGCAATGTTCGATCCCCAAAGAGAATTCGGTATCTATACAAGGCAAAGTACTTAGGAAAGAAAGAGCAAATCTATAAGAGTGAAAAATCATGCAGAATATCATTCATGATTAACAATTTTTATTTACTCAAAAAATGCCCCCTTTTCTTTTCCTCGTTGGGAGAGAGCTATCCAAAACATGGACCTGAATCGTTTGCACTAATGTTATGCAGCAACTGACAGTGTATTTGCCAAGTCCAATTTTGGTTGCGATACAATCATTTATGAATCATTATCTATGGCAACTAAACAATTTCAGTTCTGTGATGTTTTACACTACACCACAGCCGTTTTTACTAACTAAAACTGTTGCATTTCTTAATTCAACAGCTTCTACAAAAGTATCCATTCATAAACAGGCAACATCTGAACCCTCCCATTTACCAGCTGCGTTTGATAACTCTTTCCTCGAAGGTTCGTCTTTGTCCTGATAAATCGGTGAGTATATTCACGTATTATTGTAGACGTAAGAGTTTCGATTTTAATAATTTCGTGTTATTACTGCCTAGATTTCCTTTCTTTTGGCTAGCCCTTAATAGTAGCTGTGCCAGAATAATGATCTAGCTATAGTGCCTTAATAGGACAGTATATCATGCATAAAATTGTAATGGCAGTTCAAATGTAATACTTCGCCGTATAACTACTAGACAAGTAACAACTCAATACTAGTGCATTTTTGTAAGATGCTCCCTAAACGTGACATTAATAGAGAGTTAGACTTTTCTAGTTTTGTTCCAAGTGAACTTGCGATAGCAATTTGGCTCAGCTTCTGAGCCAAAAAAATGGCTCGAACGCAACGCTTAGATATTTTTTAGGGCTTAAAAAGTTTCACGCATGATGCTTGAAGGAATCTTACTTGGCTTCTTGATTTGACAGCAATGTGACAGCGATCCAGTAATTTACGAGAGATTTAATGCGACTGAATTAACTTTGCTTTTCCTTTCCTCCACTGGAAAACTTCACAATTTTGTTTTGAACTCCTGCATAGCCGTTGTAAACCAGGAATAGTTTCTCTTCATATGAATTTATTTCCTGTAAAATACCAATGTTTTGCAACTCAAGGCTTCCAACTGTGCAATACGAGAGTTTCATATTACAAGCTTGTTTTGTCCACTCTTGCGAGTTTTTCAATTCTTGGAAGTCAGTCTAATATTGGTATTGCATTCGGATATCAAACAGGAAACTCAACCCCAGATTTTGGGAATTCCCCTCAAGTTTATACAGATTAAAGTCGGTTGAGAGAAGATTTAGTTGAATTTTCTGGATTTTCAGGTACCTTACTTTTTCTGGTTCGCACTTTTACTTTTTTTTAACTTATTGACGTCGTTAAGTACTTTTAAACTCTCATTAATCTATCCAATCCATTAGCAATTACCATATACTTTGAAAGCAATACGATCGATCAGTGCATTTCTAGTTAGCTTCCTCGGAAAATCACCTTTCAAAAATTAGATGGAATACCCCGGATTGATCAAATTTAAAATTATCTTCTCTTTCTTGCTACTGCCCTGTTTGTACAAAACGGCTGCCTGATGAAACGTGTCATGTCGCAGTCTGATTGCCATATTTTTTAAAACTTTTCCTAAACGGAGGTCTGTATTTTTGTTTCAGATGAATTTCAAGCTTGCAATCCTTCATCCTCAGCTCGCTACGTTCCAATATCCCTTCGACCTAGTCTACAAATACGAACTCAATCAAAGCCCCCAAAATACTAAGCTGGTTCGTGAGTTGTACAGTGGCAAGAGCCATGTTGATGAACTTGTGGCACGCATTCGTAGGGTAAGAGAATGTCAAATTGTGCTAATATTCTAGAACAAGCAAAATACGCCCATCAAAAGCGCATAATTAAAAATAAACCAAAATATTACATCGTGAAATCACTCGTTTGTTGATGGAGGAAAGAGAGGACCTAGAGAGCCCAGCTGTACATGAACAAATAAATCAATAAAGTACTCTGGCTTTCCTGTGTTGAGATTCGAAAAAAGACGCTGAAGCGTTGAATTTCCAGTAATCGTACTAACACCAACTTGAGTGACCTTGTAATGACGTGAGACGTGAATAATTGTCCAAGGTGTTAAATTCTATCAATGCGAGCTCACCGTTCGTCTCGCTTCGATGCAAAGGCACGGCTACTTTTCAAGATGGCGCAGGGAACTGTGAAGGGGACTATTGCTTCTCAAATATAAATTTGATCAGGCAATTGAAGATTATAAAACAATCGGTGCTTTTTTAACGTTCGACCTTCATGGAATACAGATACATGCACACGGAAACTATACGGATATAAAGAAATATTTAAAAAGGAAACATCGATCAATAATTTATTTACTATTCTTAAACAATGTTTCCGCGGCTCATCTGATCCTATTTTTAAAGTCAGTTCAGCTTATGACAGTTTTTTTTATGTAGGCATATCCGAAAAGTCTGACACTTCCAATGGGCAGGAAGTTGAATGAAAGTGAACTAGACGACCAAGCGAAGACGTTACTTACTACGGTCCAACATCTCACGGTATTTATCCTTTTAATTAAAGTTGTTTTCAAAAGACTTTTCAAGCACACTAAACTTAATACTGTAAGCGGATCCCTAGCGGATCTATAGTGTTTTGGGAGTGAGTCAGTCCAATGGTGAAACAGATGTTGCACGTAATAGGGTGCAATATTTTAGAGATGAAGAGGCACTTCCCGCATTTTAGAGACATTCCCGAGACCGGGACAGTAGGAGGGATACAGCGGCGGCTCCAGGGGTGGTTCCGTGGGCGGCTCCATGGAAGCCCCCCTTTGGTAAAATCTTAACCAGCTTTTGTGTGATTCTTATCAGCTTTTTCTGTGTGGCAGCCATTTTGGAATCCCCCCCCCATCCCCCCATCTTTTTAAAATCCTGGAATAAATACCCATTATGACATCTCTTCCCCTAGGTTCGTAGGTTTGGATTTGCTTGATATGAATTTGACCGTCTACTCATGTTCTCTTTCAGCATGTGGCTCCCACTCCTGCTAATGTCAAGATCTACCGAAACTTTGTCATCGTCAACGTGTTTATAGAAGCCATCCGAATGATAGATCCCTGTATCCCATGAATGGATGATTACAACCAAACGGCAGCACAAAAAATGACACAAGAAATTGCTTCGACTTAAAGACGTTTGTCATATAAAACTGCAGGATTTTCGGATCTCTTCTGATGTATCGGGCATAGTGTATTTCTCTTAATACAGCATATTTAGATGTCACAGTTACCGGATTATTAACACTGGCAAAACTTGCAGGCTGATGCATGTGGCTTTGGCAAATACTAATTTTAGATGAAAGTGCTTCAGTGCTTCAAAGGGGGTAAGACTATCTAGTTTTCGCTGTAGCACAAGCACCAGCATAAGAATCAAAGCAACTTCAGTTCCTTTGCAGATGGGAGAAAAGACAACTGGCTTTAGTTATGACCAATGAATTGTTTCTGTGCATGTTACCAAATTATTCTTGTGCTTGTGTTCCAAGTGAAAACTGGACAAAATAGCTCATTGTAGTTCATTTTTAAAAATAATTTTATGCAATTGTATGCAACACTAAAAAACTAGTTCATTTCTTAGAAAAGACCGTAAACAGTCGACCACTCCCCTCTCTTTCCCTTGGTCATTGTTCGATATTTGTATTTTCCTTTCGCCACTTTCCACGCCCCTCCCCTGGGGATATTAGACTAGCTATAGTAATCCTCACTCGGCCAAATCAACCAAAGCAAATACCAAGCAATGAGTCAGCGCCAAGGGAAATATAGGGACTGTTCGCAGTCTAGTCTACGAATATTAGGATGCACCTATCCCCAAAAAGGATCCATTTTTTGAGTCAAATGAGATTGGAGATTGAAGAACGAATAACAAAAAGTGCTAAAAATGGCTTTACCCTGAATTCAATCATTCCCAGAGGAGTGAAATAACAAAAAAAAAAAAAAAAAAAGGCGGCTATGTTGGATGATATAACATAGACAAATCTTTTTTTTAATTCAACCAAGATGGTGGCTATGAAGTCATGTGCAAACGACGAATAGCGCAGATGATGTAACGAATTTACGCAGAACAATCCTATTGGGTAGAATAATCCACTATGCAATCTTCCATAGTTTCGTTAGGTTCAGAGAACCTTTTTTGGAATAGGTGTATATATAAAAGTCAAGTTATAATCCCAAGGTTTTGATTGACGTGCCTTTTGCAAAGGCGATAATTTAACGCTACTGAATTCTCATTCCGTTTAGCACTGTAAAAAGTTATTGCATGCTTTAATATGTTAGAAGCAAAAGGTAGGCTGAAACAGCCGAGTTCCGGGGGATCCTCTCATTAATACCCCGCAGTACAACAGCGAGACAAGTTGCATGGAACATTGCAGCGTGTAACCTACAACGCAATTTGAAAAAAAAATTACACTCTGTTTATGTGCATGATACTTAGAAATTATGGACATTATATTTAGCAATTTTTTCCCGCGGAAACAAAGGAATAGAAGCATCTTAATATCGAATAGTTAAATAACAAGTTATTTCATGAGAATTTTCTGATTTTTGATGTTCCCTTACGTGTTGGGATCACACTATATTTTTAAGATTTTAAAGGGTATAAAAGATTGAGTAAAATTCTATTTTACTATAAAAATATTTTTGTAGATTATTTAATATATAAGCTTTATTTTATTGTTGTAATGATAAGGGTGTCTAGAAATAAAGGCTGTTTCTAAAAACTCGTTGAAATGTTTCTTCTTCGAAGTACTTGGCTGTTACAAGACATTCGAGAGGGAAGAGGGGGGTTGGCAACACATCCCAAATTTTCAGCTTGATGGACCCAAATGCAAATAACTCAAAAAACTTCGTACTAATAACGGTTTGAGCATTCGCATTATCAGCCACTTATTTTTTGGAGGACGTACCAGATATCCCTAGATAACAGAGACCACAAGGGAGAAATTGGAATGAGTATACCATGATTATATAGAATACTACTGATATGTTGCTTCCTTAAAAAATCCTTTTTCGTTTTGAGAGAGAGAAATGGCAAAAAGAAAAGAAAAAAAAAATTGGAGATATTGCATTTGAAAATAGCTTTCGTCTAAAGGAAAGCAATTTTTAGCTCGTTATCTCGTTAGTTGACTCAGACAATAGCAAAGGCACCTTTCATTAGACGTTTTACCAGTTGAGTTAAAATCCTGTCCCACAAACCACATAGTATCTATTTTAAAGAGCACTACAAGGGTTACGAGGCAATTTTCTTTTATTTTCACAGATTTGAGTACTGTCCTGTCCTAACTATGAATTTGTTGAGCTTGTGTGACATAGCAACGGTAACTAAGGGGATTCCGAGCAACGAATTCTTTTTCAGTAATGTGGTTCTTTTTTAAAGAGAGAAAGAGAGGCAAAGAAAGAGAAAGTGAATATTCACACAGGCTAAGCCAAACAGGCCATCAACAGGGTTTAAGATCAAACACCTAATCCATCAGTCAGACATGGATGATTTAACTTGTCACATTCAATATATCCAATATAAATATCCTCTCGTCAAATGGCATTAAAACAGCCAACGTGCATATTTACATTATCTATGATTTTGAATTATATAAATAATATAATATCTGAAGGGTGATTTATTTTGACTTCACAAACCAAATCGTGTGCAATATGTTTTTGTTGTTGTAAGAATTCAAAAACCCTAATTTGGAATGCCCATAATTATTTATATCAGTCCGTTGAATTTCATGTATGAATCTACACGACGAAAAAAAATTTAGGCAAGCTGCTTTTAAAATCATAAGCTGCTCAAAAATTAATAATGATAGAGAAGAAGAAAAAAATTGGGAAAATTTTTGAGGCTTCGTAGGCTTTCACACGAAAATTTCCATTGAACGATAACAGGTTTTTGACATTGATAAAACTTCTTTATACTCTTTGATTCTGTTCGCTGCATACTCAGCAAAGTTAGCTCCAGCCTCTATTAGTAAGATAGCACACTTCCATTTCCCTTTACGTATCGCTGCATGTAAGGGACCCCATCCACGACAATCCTTTATGTTGGGATCCGCTAAGTGTTCAAGCAACAGCTGAACGCATTTTAAGTCCGCGTTTCCAGCTGCTATATGAATTAACGTCTGACCGCTTGGGGTTTGCACATTAACATTGATATCGCAGTCGGATTCTAATATCGACTTCGCCTCTTCGTAAGACTTTTCTGTAACAGCCGCAAATAAAAGTGTATTCGGACTGAATGAAATCCTTTTTCGAGACTTTAAAGGCTTTAGAGTTTCTTGTGACGACAAACTTTCATCTCCAGAGCTCTCCCCAATAGAATTCAAAGGAGAATTTGTTAATCCTATTGGAAGTCTTTGACATATGAAGGATCCATTTGGATAGCGTTGTCTGAGCCATACAATAATTTTCATGAGCATAACGACAGTTTTCGTCACTTCCACATCAAGGTCGATAGTAAATCCACTTGCAGTATGTACAGTAATAGTATTAATCCTTGAAGGACTACTACTGCTCGAGTCGCCGTGAATAATTTGTTGATAGACGTAAAGATTAGTATCCGAGTCGCTAGAAGATGTGTTTAGGGACTGAACATCAGACTCTCGGGAAAGGTCAGAAGATTGCGAATAAGCAGAATCTGAATGTGAATCGGTAGAGTCGTCAAACTGTGAAAATTTCTCTTGACTTAACCGATAAATTTTATTATTTCTGTATACTGTTCCTTCTTGTCTTCTAGCTCCTCTGTCCTTATCAATGCTGCTTATTTTCCCCCAAACAAATAACTTGTCCTTCAGATCTGTCTCTGACCTCGTAAAAGAAGGTACAAGAGCTTTGTTATTGTTGACCGTTTTGTGGTTTGTATCGTAGGAAGAAAGTCTTAAAGCATCAAGCATTTTAATCACTGAAGAGGTTTTTTGTTGTCCATCGATTTTCTTGCCTAAGCCATGCTTCTTTTTGTTTAAAGATTCATTTTCCTCTCGTGGAGAATAGAAATAATCTAATTTCGAGTGATCAAACTTTCGCTCATTCGACATAATACATTCGTGCAGTTTCACAAAACTTCATCAAAGAAATACAAGCTTTTTTGTCCCAAAGACTGAAACCCGGACGTTAATAATTGCCCAACGACTTGCTAGAAATCGGCTGTAGACCTTGACAATATCTTTAACACCAACTGCACGAACTCGTTCAACGAATTATCACTGGATCAAACAGAATCTTCAGATGTTTTGAATGCCAAGAATAAGTACTTTCATCCTGAGTATCTAGATGAAAAACGGTTTAGAGAATGACCTAACAACGGTCAGTCGCGCAGTAGGAACCAAGTTACACGTCTTTATTCCACGAACGTATAAACAACTTCTAAATTGTTTAATTTATATGTAAATTATTTGTTATTACGTCTTGTCTTGTGCCTATTGTTCTGTAACTGTGAAGCTTTTGTTTCTTTATGGAGCGTGCATAAATCTATAAATGTTATTCTTGGTAAGAGATATATACTTAAAAGTCCCCCTATGTTTAGTTATGACAAACCCAAAAATCTTCATTTAGTTTCCTTTGGATTAGCTGATTGGGTATTTTTCCTTCTCGACATAACCAAGCCAAGAGATCATCAAGTTTTTCTCCACTTAGAGTCGAAGTCCGGCTTCAGTGAGTCAGACTGGCCGACGTTTAATTTCTTCCCTGCCAAAAATTCCCAAAATATATTCGTTATATCAAACACGTTTCGTTTCGAATATCTAGTGAAGCAATTCCGATTATCGAGTAAGTGCAATACAAATATATTTTCTGAAATATCTGTCAAAAAAGATCACCTTAGGTATATATGTATTTATACAACTGCGTTGAGGTTCAAGGTCATATAGCGTGACGTTAACGACAAGAGGTTGACTCGATGCTCAAGTACTCTCTACCGTGCATGCTTTTTATTACGCGTGTTAAAGATAATTTAATTAGGGCACGTTTTTAGCCACCAGAAGAGAGATCACAAATGTACAAGCCTGGAAGCGAACACGAAGCTCTGGAACTCTGTTGTCTTGGCAACGATAAAAGATGAAAATGGTTCAAATCTCTTTATCTTAATATACGTGGGCTCGATAATTTTAGATACGGATTAGTTTATTTTGTTATAATTTGAAAACAGGGAGTTATTGCTCCGTTTCCTGAGCCAGAGGCTTATGACTAAAGCTCTCAAAGCCACATTGAATGCGAAGTTGATTTTCGCAGAAGAAGCCCACGAAGCTCGAAGCACAGAAGACAGGCAACGAGAAAGTTTTTTAACATATGAAGCCAGGACTGAGAACCGATGACCACATCGGCGAGTGAGGGAGCATTTGCAGTTGCCTGGTGTGACACAAGTTTAGACACGAGCAACAGTAGGACATCGAACAGAGTTTGAAGGCGAGTGAGGGAGCATTTGCAGTTGCCTGGTGACACAAGTTTAGACACGAGCAACAGTAGGACATCGAACAGAGTCTGAAGTCATAAACTAGGCCTGTGTGTGTTATAACATTCAAGGGTAAAAGTAAAAAATCTGATAAAAAAAAACATTAAAAACATTTTTGAGTGCAAAATTTTCTTTTATTTCACCTAAAACTTAATTTTATTTCGTTCCTAACAAGCTTCGTAAACTTGTGTATGATTAAGAGCAGAAGTTTTTTCTGCATGAACAAACAAGATCTATAGACCATGACGTTTATAAATTTGGGCAAATATCGTAAATATTATTCCATACGATGGCCGGGACGAATGGAAAGAATAAGTTGGGACTGCGCATGCTCGTCGTTGTCCATTTGACAATAAAATTACTCAATCGTATTCAATTTTTTTTAGTGAATAGTTTTGGCTACGCTGTGATAGCCATCTTTGTCTAATAAAGCGTCTAAAGTCAAACAATGAAAACCACTCCTACAATAAGAAAATTCAATAAGAGACGCACAATCGCTGGTCTACTTATGGTACAATATAGTCGTGTTGTTATTCAAAAAAAAATAGAGGCTCCGGGAAAACGATAGAATAATTACGATAACATTTTTTTTCTCGAGCCGACTTGAAATGTTTTTGCGCTTGACCACTCAACTAGAAAATCGGAAGTTGACTATTATAAGCAATTTCGAGGATATTTGCACTTGAGAGTGAGTGTTACTGGACAAAAATATGCAATACGTACCTGTTATAATCATAAGCTATCTTTTGCTATTTTAATGATTGCCTTCACTCTATCGCAACTCGTAGTTTTGATTTGGAATTCAGATGGTCGAAGAGCTCCACCCATAAACACGTGACTATTTCTGTACTCCATGAGTGATGTAGACGATTCACGTGCAGAACAATGAAACTCCTCTACACCAGTTCCCTGTAGGATACGCTCTAAGTTACGTTCTGTTATTCCACCTCCTGGGAAAGAAAGTAAATATTGATACTCGCATATGTGATGTACTTTGAATGAAAGCACTAGGGAGAAGGAGGAGGAAGAGGAGAATAAGAAGGAGGAAGAGGAGTAGGAGGAGTAGAAGAAGGAGGAGGAGTAGGAGTAGGAGAAGAAAGAGTAAGAGAAGAAGGAGTAGGAGAAGGAGGAGAATAATTAAAAGGAGGAGAAGGAGAAGGAAGAATAGAGGAAAGAGGAGACATGACATACCTGGTACAATCGTTATTCTTTTATTTGCCTAAAAAGAGAGAGAATGAAAGGGATTACTATGGTTATCCAATTTAAAAAATTATCATGAAAGATGGGGGGGGGGGGGGGGGGGGGAATTTCCTCGCACCTGCGTATTTAGTTCTTTAATGACTGGCAGCCCATCTAAAACTGTCGAATCTAATCCACTTGTTAAAACCCTTTCAAATCCAATGTGTATCAGATCTTCAAGGCTTTCCTTTGGATCCTTCACCATGTCAAAAGCTACAAGACAAAATATAAACAACATGTTAACCGGTCTACACTTTAATCTGCATGATTGGGTGGTTCTGGTCAGCAAAGGAAGATATGGGCAGGCTAACCTGAGTATAGGGCTTTCCCCTTCCGCTCCCCCTCCCTTTTACCTTCTCCCCAGCCTACCCCCTCCTAGGCCTGATGCTCGGGTTATAGGCTGGCTAGCAGCATGGCACTTTCGTTTTCAGAGAGTCGCTTTCTGGATGGCTTTTGTATGAAGCCAATTGACCAGAGTTCGCTTAGTGGCGCATGTAAGTAGACTTGCTAGTTGATTCTTGAAGGTTTTCTCCGGGTTCTCCGGTTTTCCTCCCTCCGCACAAAAATAAACTTATTACATTCTAATTGGAATTTCAATGGAGAGAGAGCCACTCTGTCTGTGGAAAGCCACTGCTTGATCTCATTTACAGTCAAACCAACTCATGCATTCTTGTCAAGGTTCGAATATTCAGTTTATTATTCAAAGCCTGATTTCCATCTTGCTTTGAAGCTTGCATTAATGAAACTAACATTGGGAATTTGAATTCTGGGAAGGGATTCAAAGTATAATTAGTTCTTCACGGATCCGTGCAAAGCCAAAATTATTTCTACAATAGCGCAGCGCACTGATTCTAAAAATAGCTTAAAGATTCGGACAAACNAAGGGGGAGAATAAGGAGGAGTAGAAGGAGGAGTGGGAGAAGGAGGAGGAGAAGAAGGAGAAGGACAAGAAGGGGAAGGAGAAGGAGGAGAATAATTAAAAGGAGGAGAAGGAGAAGGAAGAATAGAGGAAAGAGGAGACATGACATACCTGGTACAATCGTTATTCTTTTATTTGCCTAAAAAGAGAGAGAATGAAAGGGATTACTATGGTTATCCAATTTAAAAAATTATCATGAAAGATGGGGGGGGGGGGGGGGGGGGGAATTTCCTCGCACCTGCGTATTTAGTTCTTTAATGACTGGCAGCCCATCTAAAACTGTCGAATCTAATCCACTTGTTAAAACCCTTTCAAATCCAATGTGTATCAGATCTTCAAGGCTTTCCTTTGGATCCTTCACCATGTCAAAAGCTACAAGACAAAATATAAACAACATGTTAACCGGTCTACACTTTAATCTGCATGATTGGGTGGTTCTGGTCAGCAAAGGAAGATATGGGCAGGCTAACCTGAGTATAGGGCTTTCCCCTTCCGCTCCCCCTCCCTTTTACCTTCTCCCCAGCCTACCCCCTCCTAGGCCTGATGCTCGGGTTATAGGCTGGCTAGCAGCATGGCACTTTCGTTTTCAGAGAGTCGCTTTCTGGATGGCTTTTGTATGAAGCCAATTGACCAGAGTTCGCTTAGTGGCGCATGTAAGTAGACTTGCTAGTTGATTCTTGAAGGTTTTCTCCGGGTTCTCCGGTTTTCCTCCCTCCGCACAAAAATAAACTTATTACATTCTAATTGGAATTTCAATGGAGAGAGAGCCACTCTGTCTGTGGAAAGCCACTGCTTGATCTCATTTACAGTCAAACCAACTCATGCATTCTTGTCAAGGTTCGAATATTCAGTTTATTATTCAAAGCCTGATTTCCATCTTGCTTTGAAGCTTGCATTAATGAAACTAACATTGGGAATTTGAATTCTGGGAAGGGATTCAAAGTATAATTAGTTCTTCACGGATCCGTGCAAAGCCAAAATTATTTCTACAATAGCGCAGCGCACTGATTCTAAAAATAGCTTAAAGATTCGGACAAACTTTGCATTCTGTTTAACCGCTACGAGGATTATACGAACCGATTTTATTATTTTTACTTAAAGTTACAATAATAACTCATGTAAACTAAGATCAACTGCGATCGGCTGTGAAAATTATCTGCTGAAAGTAAACTTGTAAGTTTGTTTGTCCGAATTTCCCCTTTGTCTTCGTTTTTATGAAGTCACGGCTGCGCTGCGCTATTGTAGCTACTTATAAACTGATCTGTGACGTGTGATGTTTTGTTCAAAAAGTTCTTTCACAATTTTGATGTTTTGAGGTAAAGACCGGGATTGAAATTTACGACATTAATTTCATTATTGTAAGTTTTAAAGCAAGATGGAAATCAACCTTCGAATAATATACTGAATCTTTGAACCTTGATAGGAACGCATGAGCTGGTTTGAATTTAAAAACAACGCATTAACATCCTAAGCCTCTTTTAAATGCATGATGATTGGAGGGTGTTCGTGCAATAATCATTAGGATGAAGTAGTATTTCAGCCTAAATTACCTCTATGGAAAGTAACAGGAAGAGGTCTTGATAGTTCTGCGGAAATAATAACAATAATAAGTGTATTGAATTTTGGGATCTGGCTGACCTTTCGTAAAAAGTGTTCACCTCTTGTATTCCTGGGGGGCATCGACCTGGAGCAAGTCTAAAAGTTCCGTAACACATTTCCTTAGCGTAGGCATTTTTTTATACCAAGCAAATGAGCCAGCGATTTCACCCAAACCGCCGGCTCACCCTTGTCCTTAGGGGCTCTCTTCGTACACGGTGTACGTAATTTCGTAATTCCAAGTCGGACTTTAAGGTAAACTTCCATGTTGACATAAAACAGTTTTCGTATGACTGTGAAGAGATCACAGCACGAACACAGTCGTGAAACGGCAAGGGGTACATCAGACCAATCACATTGCCTTGTAATTTACTCTCAAACCAATCAGATACCCGGAACACGCAAGAAACAAGGCGCGGACAAAGTCACACCAAGCTCACGGCATTGCCAGACCACATTGCACGACCAACATGGTAGCTATGACGTCACAGACACCTTAATCATTTTGATGTAAAGCCTCACTCGTAAAACCTTACATAACTTGGATAAGAGTCAAAACTGGGATCACTTACCTAGTAATTCTTTATTTCTTGAAACATCAATTTGACCTTTTCTGAGAAAAAGAAACCAGTAAATTATATTACAGTTTGTAAAACGATTTAGGTGCCATTATGGACCCCGAGCCACGTGAAGGTCTAACCATTTGCAGATGTAATTACAAAGGCAGCACCTTCTACTTCTCAATCATTTCAAGATCCTGAGTGTTGGTCCGGCCGGGGCTGTAAACACGACCTCCCACACAACAGACCGAGGCTCTAATAGCAGATATCGGGGTTACACTCTATTGCCTTCAGACACTTGTTACATTTGGGTCAGTTTCTATACATTTCATTGTATTGACCCAAATGACTCGTAATTTAAAAGAATTTGAATTTTTTACTGGTCAACTGACGTTTCACGTTTGCCGTGAACGTAAATCTAAAACTCTCTAATAGAGAGTTTTAGATTTACGTTCACGGCAAACCTGAAACGTCAGTTGACCAGTAAAAAAATTTTTTTAAATTACTGAAAAAGAATCGCAACAAAGTCCAGTAGTAGAAAAACAAAAGAGTATTTGCGCTTGGTGAGAAGGTTTGTAAAAGGTAAAGTAAAATAAAGGAAAACTATGAAAACGTGGTCACGTTTGCCGTTTGCGGGGAGGGAAAAAAGTCAATCTAAAACTCTCTATTATCTTGAACTTTTCCCTAGCGAGAGTATATAAGAACTAGCAACCTCTAGGATCTAAGCTTAAGATTAAACTTAGATATAAAGGTGGAGCTTTGGAAAAGTTAACAGTAATGTCATAATCATTAGCTGTCGCAGCGCCATGAGTCGCAAAAGGCCTTAACCTTCTTTATGCAATAGACCTTTGTCGAGTTCCAAATTACCGCTGTGGCTCATAATAGTGTAAAACGCAGGGTTAGCCTCTAATCAGTGTATGACAACCAGGTGATCTTACGCACGCACTTCCGGTTACTATTAACCAATCAGAAGCATTTTTGTTGTATCGCCAAAAGTTCCATGTTGAATTTCAAAATGGAGTCATATCTCGAGTTAACTTTCTCAAAATACGTCCTGAAATATAACTTTGCATCGAAAAATCCTGTTACATGGACCACAAAAGCTCCCTCTTGAACTATCAGCAATAAAAAATATGAAAACAAAGCATAAATGTAATAAAAATAAGCAAAATGAACGTTAATGTTGTTGTGTTAATTTTGATTACCGTGAGATATTATGAAATAGGAAACTGGGTATAAGAAACTGTTCGCTTTGACAAAAAATCCTTTGCGCGCTTTGATGCGAGAGATCACCTGGAAATACCAAAGGTAAAGTTAAGAATGCTCAACTTGAAAAATAAAAACACGTTGTAAATACGCGGACCACCCTTGGTAGCAGCGATACAAGAGCATACAAAAGTAGACTAGGAACCTTTTTAGCCATGTTTCATAGAATCATAAAGGAAAAATGAAGCAAATTTGAAATAAGTATACATAAAACTTTAAAAATATATATACTCACTCATTGAGGATTCCAAAGACAATTCCATCAGCTCCATGTTTTTTCAAGCATTTTAAATCCTCTTTCATCACATTGAACTCTTGCTGTGAGTAAAGATAGTCTCCTCCCCTGGGTCTTATCATGACAAACACTGGTATTGAAACATTTTGTTTAATAACTGCAAGCATTCCTGAATAAAAAGAGGCCATACACTAAGAAACTGACCAATGATTGTTTTCATGGGAGGGGGGTCTTGGGTTCAATTCCTTGAACTAGAATCACACTTAAAAAGAGTTTTTTTAAGGTCACTTGCTTGATTCAAGGGCCTTATTCCCCCAAGTAATTAAGTTACTTGCTCCCTCTTGAAAACCCAACAATATGCTAAAATGATATATGCACTATAGCTGTACTCTGATTAGTCATAGGCTCTTGTAAAAAACTGAAAATAGTTTTTGTTGTTAATAAACAGTTTATTTGCATGGGTAGCATGGATGGTGTTTGTGGCTTACTTGTCATTTTTCACATCTGTGAGTCCAGTGGATTGGGTTGCTGGTTCGAGCCCTGCGGTTACCACATGTGAATTGAGTTTGTTTGATATGTTGTTCTCTCCTATGCTACGAGGGTTTCCTCTGGGCTCTCTGGTTTCCTCACTCCGTAAAAATCATACAATATTGAATGAAGTGGTAGTGCATGTGAGCGAAAAGTGTCCCTAATTAGTGCGAAAGTGCTAGAACGACTAGACTTTTATTTAGATATTTATTTATTTATTTTAACCACAGGCATGTTTGACCAGCCAAAATCAAAGTACAGTGTGACCTGACAAATAATTGCCAAGTGGTAATTAATTACACTAGACTTTTGTTCAATAATATAATTATTTTCCCTGCTAGCAGAGCCTATTTTCCTTTTGTTTTGGTTGAGAGTGAAAAATAGACTCTGCCGATGTAGGACGTTATTTCTGTCGCTCATGCATGGCTGAACTTAGCAATGTTGTCATGGTTTTGACAGCCGTTCTCATCAAACAATGTTTGGCACCACAGTGTGTTACAATTGCTCATGCGCACTACATGCAATCGGTTAAAGGCAAGGCAAAGGTAAGGTAATAGTTTTAAAACTCTACATTGGCAGAGTCTCCTTCCTCCCGCCTGAAAGAAGGGAGAGAAAGAGAAGAGAGACTCTGCTAGCAGGAAAATAATTATCACTCTCTGTATTTTACCTGGGGTGGGAGTGGTACCACCTTCCATCAAATTACCACACAACTCCAGTCTTTGGGCACCTGCATGTAGAAACTCAGATTATATGTACAGATTGGGTAGCATGGGTGGTGTTTGTGGCTAACAAGTAGTCTTTCACCGCTGTGAGCCCAACGGGTCACTGGTTCGAGCCCTGCGGTCCCCACATGTGAATTGAGTTTGATGTGTTGTTCTCTCCTATGCTACGAGGGTTTTCTCTGGGTTCTCCGGTTTCCTCCCTCCGTAAAAATCAACATGTGAGTTGAGAGTTGTGTGTATAAAATATTCAAATGTAGTAGGGATTGTGTATGGAGGATACACGGCCCCACAAGCTCTTAGCTTTAATGCCTACTGTGTATAAATAAAAATTATATATATTTCTTATTTAAATTTATTTTATTATACATGCTGATTAGTGTTTTGTTCTACTGTACACTTTACACTTTACACTGTCAGTTTAAAAATGAGTTGAAAATAGGGTAGCTCTTGGAGTGAAAAGTAATCTACACTGTGCAAATCACTGAGGTTGCTCATCGATCCACTCTTGTTATGTGAGGCTAATTGTTATTCCACGAGAAATCACTTCATGCTGGTGGGATACATGGGTGGGCAGGAACCATTAAAACTTTTTTTCTAAATTATAGGTGTTCTGAATATATACAACACGAAATAAAAAGAAACTTAAACAAAGAGTAAAATAGTTGGTAACTGGTGTCGGACAAACGCAGACCACAGACTGCAGACCGCAGACCGCAGACTGCAGACTGCAGACTAGATATATTTGATAATAATTATCGTTTTGAATTTGTATCAATTTGTATTGTATTTTCCCCCCCTTACAAACCTATTATATGGCAAATTATATAATAAAAATATAAAAGTATATAAAGATACCGAACTATTTGTGTGATTGAACACTGTCGCCACTGTTGTCTCGTTCAGCGCGTTACAATGAAAATAGTCGTAAGTATACATCTCTAAAATACATGTTCATTATATTATGTTCTATATACTAGTAAAGATGTTTATATATTTTCTTCTTTGCCTGGCGATATGGCTTATGATTTAGCCATTGTTATGTGGTGACTTCCGGTGCTTGTATGCAGGTAATGGGTCTGGTTTGTGTGGTATGATTTGTTTTACCATATAAATTTGAGTTCAATTGACCTTATAAAGGTCATGTCATTAAGAAAGATAATAATTATTGTAATTGACCGTACGAATTGTCAACGAAAAGCAATATACTATCTCTTTGCTTTTCCTAAGTATACACCTTTATATAGTACATGTTCATAGTCTTGGTGATTATTTTCTATACTTGGATTTGCCTGGCAAAATGGCTTGTGGATTTACTTAATTCAGTAAATCCATTACAAAAAAATACGTGTGATTAACTCGATCCAAAGGTATTGGCGGTGTCTAATGTGTAACTGAACTTACAACCGTAGTAAAACTCACAGCCGTCAGAGCTACCGAGAGCGTTGTCACTACGCTAGTATATCAAATAACAGCTGACAAAGTAACAGATCAAACATAAACCAGACCCATTACCTGAATTAAGTAAATCCACAAGCCATTTTGCCAGGCAAATCCAAGTAATGAACGAGACAACAGTGGCGACAGTGTTCAATCACACAAATAGTTCGGTACCTTTATATACTTTTATATTTTTATTATATAATTTGCCATATAATAGGTTTGTAAGGGGAAAAAAATACAATACAAATTGATACAAATTCAAAACGATAATTATTATCAAATATATCTAGTCTGCAGTCTGCAGTCTGCGGTCTGCAGTCTGCGGTCTGCAGTCTGCGGTCTGCAGTCTGCGGTCTGCAGTCTGCGGTCTGCATTTGTCCGACACCGGTTAGCAACTGTTCAGATGTTTGGGTGTTAAAAGACCTTCGTCGGAATGAGGTTTTTATACGCTGTTTTTATACGTCCCACTGCCGCACGAATAGCAAATACGAGTCGGCGTACGGCTACCGTACGAATAGCCACAAAAAAATCCATTTGAATCCATTCATTTAGAATTCATAAAGTGGAACGATACTGAACAGTCGTGTGATATTTTCCTCAAAAATATCCTCTAAGAACGTAAAACTTACCACCCTTTTCTGCATTCATGGCAGATTCAACAGAATCTACGCAAACCTCCATTAACACCATCTTCATGGATATCTTTGGCGCTAAAAACTGAAATATTATCAGAAAACACGTTTTGAGCAGGCGTTCCAAACCAAAGCAGAGAAGGACTGTTATGGGTCAGTGGTCGCCTCGTGGGCTCAAATCCAAGATGGCGGCCTTGAGTGCTGCTGCAAGATTGACAAGAAGACTCTATGGATTTCGAGTTTCTTTTGCAGCCATTAAGTAATATTTGCTTTTACTGGACTTCTTTAGGTTATAAGGAGTTTGTAGGTGCAGTTAGAATGAAGATATTTGGTACCTTTTGGTAGACACGTGCATTCAAAGCCAATACAGTTTTGTACACGTGAGGCCGTACCAACTCAGGAACCTTCAAATATCGATACTTTGTAACAACCTCTGGTCTGAACAAAGAAAGTTGGGGTTGGCTCAGAAGGCCTAAAATTAATTAATCCACCAGAGCTATCAGCCCAGTGTTTTTTTCGGTGTAAAAAATGTAGTTGGGGGGAGGGGGTGGTGTGTTTAGACCAGCTATGCTGAATAGAATTAGCACAATTGAGGCATTTTTATCATCCCAGTATTGTCTCAAAATTTATTATCATTGGAATTAATTTAATATAGGTGTGTTGCTACAAACTCTAAGATGTATGCAAGTGACGAGCAAAACGTAACTGAAGGTAATAGCCGAAATATTCAAAGCAAAGGTTTCAACATGCAGTTACAGGTTGTGTTTTCACTATAAATGTTAACTTGCATAAAAATCCCTGGAGGTGTTTTAATCCGACGCCTACCTTTCAAGAATAACACTGTCTTTGGCCAATTTATTTGGTAGGACAACTTTAAAAAAAAGAAGAAGAAAAAAGAAAAAAAAAGCCATTTTGCTAGGTAGTTTAACTTTGCCTTACTTCCGGTGTTGTATTTAAGCTAGTTTAAATTGYCCTAGTGAAAACACAGCCACAGTACTTCTCATTATTTTGTTACTTAAAAAAGCTTACCCACAGACACACACATAAGGTTAACTATAAACGATATTTACAATGATAATAATAATAATATGATGATGACCATGGTAGTGGCAATGACATTAGCTCATAAAGCTAATGATGTTTATAATGAAGGTCAGATAATGAGAAGGATGATGATAATGATATAAAATATATAATTAATTTGTAGTATAAACAAGCTACATTTAGTTGCTTGTTGGATGCCATCATTCTGATTGGCAGCTACTCATTGTCTATTTCTCATAATGTTTTTCATTTTGATTTTTCCGTTCAGATGGAGAGAAATCAACAAAAAGGTAAAAAATATCATGACAAATCATTAATCATTGCAAGTGAATAAGCACAGGCCTACAGTAGTATGTTGGGGTGGTGGTAAAATGCTTGTCTCATATCTTTTGAGTTTAAGGCTTTAAAACCTAGTTGCCCAATGTGAGAGTGGCGCTGGCTGTTTTTTTCTAACTCCAAGGGTCTTTGCGCTCTTTGGTTTTCCTCTCTCTCTCTCTCAATCGACCCTAACTACTTTAAATTAGTTAGAGCTGTGCCCCGGGTTCATATGGGCTGTAATAGCTGCTGCCAAAAGCACCTTCTCATTGCTTCCCATAAAGCTGCGCCAATTGCTATACTTGCAGTATTGCATAAGTGTTGGCCGCTGCAGATATGCCTTCTTATTACTCCCAGTGCTACCCTCATTGAGCTGCACCACTGCTGTACTTGCAGATGGTGAATAGCAATAATTTTTTTACCAGGAAAGTCCATGGAAATGTGCAACTATTTTACAAAATGAATAATTTGAATATTCTAATTAGTGATTTGTTGATTAAATTTAACACCATTTCTTTGCCCGTTATTTTATCTTTAGGGACCCTTTAACAGTACTAAAAGTCTTGGCCGGCACAGTACAACCAGTAAGTAAGACTACTATCAGTGACTCAAAGTCAAGCCAAAAGCACAGGGTGACCATGCCAATTTAACCTGACCAAAGCTCATTAGCAGTAGATAATTGCCTTGAGCTCGTTGCACTTTTTTTTAGTTTGAAAAACATGGTACATTGTGGTCTAGCTTGTGTGGAGACCACAACACATAAGTTCCATATCACAACATGATGAAGAAGAGATGTTTGCACCCAAGATAGACCACGATGCACGGTTTTCAATCTCTGAAAGCATAAATGCATTTTCTAGGTACAACTCTCAATTCAATCTTGGGGATAGGTACACATTTTGGTATTAATATGAGTTATGGGTGGTCATGCAAGCCAAAAATTGATCAAGCCAAAATTTATTCATTCAGGAGTAGACATTTAACGTGAAGTAACAGTGGATTTGACAGTCTAGTAGCTCTTCATCCATGGGATTTCAATTTGGAATTTAGAAGTTGGTTTTTATGGAGGGAGGAAAATTGGAGAACCCAGAGAAAAACCCTCAAAGCACAGGAGAGAACCAACAAGCAACTCTTACTCACATACTACATCAAGCCTAGCAGGACTTGCCATGNTGGAGAACCCAGAGAAAAACCCTCAAAGCACAGGAGAGAACCAACAAGCAACTCTTACTCACATACTACATCAAGCCTAGCAGGACTTGCCATGGGGTCTGCATATGCAATTCTCCCTGAGGGGCTCCTTCATGTCCAAGGCAAATTTAAGAAACGCCTTTAGGTTATGCTGCTCATGTTTATGTTTATGACTGATTTTTTCCCCTGTTTGGAAACCTAGACAGCACTAGCACCACCTAGAGAACTTTTTGAAGATTTTGGTCTATACCTCAAGTCGCCAAGGAAAAGGGTAAGATATTGATATTGTTACATTGATGTAAGAACACTTTCTATCGAAACCTCAAAGTGAAGGCCAAAAGTTAGATAACTCACTGGGTTAATACATCACCCTCTTTAAATAAGGTTTGTTGATTGATTGATTGATTGATTGTCAATATCACTTATATACAGATCCACTACTCATATCGTATATCACTTACTAATGATGCTGGTTTTATTTGTTGTATAGGAAGAATGTAAAATAGCCCGAACTTCAGGGTTCAAAGCAGCAGACTTTATCCTGCACAAATATCCACAGTTGTTTCCCATGAGAAAGGCTGAACCAGTAAGTATTTGTGAGTTAAGAGTTGTGTTCAATAAATGCCAAGCTCATTAATTCTTTTTACTTGTTTTTACCACTCTTTTCGTTGCTTTGCGCTGACCGAGACAGCAGCCGCAACAGGGAAATTGAGCAATACACTTCCGTAAATCAAATAAATTTGTTGGTACCTTTATAGTATGTTCTCTGATTGGCGGCAGTGTATTGCCCTATTTTTCTGTTACGACTGTTGTCTTGATCGGCACGTAGCAGTGAAAAAAGTGGTACTGTAAGAATGGCATAATAGTTCCACAGAGTGGATCTTTATTCATTGAATTGCAATTAGAATTTAGAAGTTGATTTTATTTGTGGTGGGAGGTAAACTGGAGAACCCAGAGAAAACACAGCACGAAGCACACAGAGAAACAACAAGCAACTCTTTTCACATTATGACTGTCAGAGATGGAAGAGTGAAAATATACGAGAAGGTTTCGTTTTGACACTGTAGATAATAGAAAATGCTTGGAAATTTTTACTGTGACCAGTTAACGATGCATCAAATCCAAATCATTGGTAGTGCCCTAGAGCAGTAGAGGCAATGTATTTCTGAATATATATAACTTAATAAAAATTAATCAAATAAGATAAATTTGAAAAAAAGGATGCATGTGCCTAACAAAGATGAAAATTTCATTTGAATTAAAAAGCCTTTCTTCTGAAAAAAAAACCCGACTTAATATACGATTAAACTGTATGAATTATTACAGTACTTTCGCTACCATTACTTTCAATACCATATTACGTTCACTATCAATCATGGTACTTTTACTAACACCATGCCGAAGTCTGTTTGCATAAGGAATTACAAACCAACAACATAAGAAACTTATTACACTGTAATATAACAGGTGTGTGTCTGACATTTGTAGGACTGGCCAGATATGAACCAGGGTGGAGCAATAGAAACAGAACAGGATCTAAAAGGTATTTTTTATCATGTCATGAATACAGGTATATATTTTTTTCAACTGTCTCATTTATCCTATGGCTACTACACTGGTTAGTACCAACCTCTGTCTAGTTCGTGTGATATAGTGTCTGTTATGAATTCTGTTATAAACTGATATATTTATAATAGCTGTTATAAATCTTGTTTTGTGATTGACTGGTAGCACATGCTTTATGAGAGCACACAGTATACACACACACTTTTATTGCATCATTTGCATGTAAAATAATGGTTGTCATTTGTATTTTATAAACGAAAATAATAAAAAACTTGCTTGCTGTGCTAAACAGAGTTTTAAAGCACTTGGAGATTGGCAGACGATCCAGAAGTGTGAAGAAGCACTCCACGACATGTTGTGCTTCTCCTTCTTACACTTCTCTCATGTTCTGCCAATCTCCCCATGCTTTATAACTGCACACAACACACACACATGTTTATTTCTTCATTTTATTGCAAATATGGTACTACATGTAAATAAAGATTGATTGATATGTATACATGTATGGAAATTACAGTACAAGAATGAAGGAAGGAAATAGGGAAAAAGGGAGGAAGCGAGAGAGCTTGGATGAAAGGCAAGGCTTTAGGAAGTTGGTTATTGGGGGTAGGGGAGTAGGGGGGTAGGGAGCAAACGGTAAGTGTACTGCTGAGTAAATGGATAGACAAAAACTTTTTTCTCTGTTGTAGACATCATTGCAGAAATGAAGCCACAAGAAGCAATCACTGGTTATGAAAAGCTCCTTAAAGATGGTAAGCTATAAACAAAGCACACTTACACTACAGTATTCACAGGAGTCTCTGTTCTTTTATTACTTTGTTGTGCTTAGGATCCCTGTGTAATAAATGAGGGGGTTGGTAAAAAAAAGAGAGTAACCCACCACAGGTAGCCCACCAAAGAAACAATTAAAAAAAAAGGTGCATAGTGCTGAGAGCGCTTGCCTCTCACCAATGCAACCCGGGTTTGTTTCTTGTACTCTTTGTATGTGAGTAGAGTTGTTTGATGGTTCTCTCCTGTGCTTCAAGGGTTTTTCTGCAGGTTCTCCGTTTTTCCACCTTCCAAGAAAATCAACTTCTAARTTCTAATTTGATCTAGAAATTAAGAGCCTGGACAAAAATTAATTTTTGTAGAATTCAAGTTAACCCATTACATTGTGAAGTTTTTTTTTATTGACTATATACTAAAAGTTAGACATCTGAAAGATTTTGTATTGATATATTTTCTCAGGAGTCCCTGTTTCACTTCAAACTAGAAATGATTTGTTGGATCTGGTTGGTTACTATGGTACTATTAGTGCTGCAGAACCTGTAGCATGGCGTCGAATTGAGAGTAGGGTTTATGCATAGCATAAGGCAATGCTATGATATGGAATTAATGAAGTTGTTTAAACCAATAAGTCAGTAAAGTCACTACTGACCATAATAATGTTTAGGAACCAAATTTGATTAGTTGGGTGATCATGAGTCTTTACAATGATTGAAAATGGTTGTTGTCATCGTCATTGCCCTCATCATCATCATGATTATCAATAATGTTATCAATAATTATAATTATATTCAATTTTATCTAGTAAAAATGTTTAACTAGAAGCCTTCTGTGTTTATTTTATCAGAAAAGTGGCAGCTTAGAAGGGGAGAGTTCTTCAAGTGAATCTTCCGATGAGAGTTCTTCTGATGAGGAAGAGGTGAATACTTATATCCTCTTTTGTTATGTATTTACATGAGATCTTTCCCATTTATTTTCCCATTTTTTCTCCCTTCCTTTCACTTTCAAACCCTCTCTCTTTCATCTACGTCATCTCTTTTTCTCTCGCACTACCCCTGTTCCCTTTTTTCTTTTTTAAACTCCATTCTAGATTCTCTCCCATTTCATTTCATTCCATCTCTCTCTTTCTTTTTTATTTCCTTCTTTCTTTCCCTCTCTTCCATTCCTCTCATATTCATCAACTCTTCCACCCTTTACGTTGTCTATCTTTCATCCATTCATTCAGTTCATCTTTCCATTTACTTCTCTTACTATTAACCAATTATTACGACAAACCATTCATTCCCCTGCCCTTCCCCCCCTTTTCTTAATCTCAACCCCACGATACTGGCAAGGTTCAGGAAAATCGTTATATTTTTGCATAATCATTTCAGGTAGAGAATGTGAGGCACAAGAGGACATGGAGGTACAGTTAGTAATGGATCATTTTTTCATTATAAGTTGAAGTATTTTGTGCACATTTTATGTTTTATGCAGAAGAGGGGATGGGGGGTTGTTTCCCACTACTTCCCCTAGATTCCCCAGTGATGGCCCAACTAATCTTATATTGTAATAATTTTGCTATCAGTATGGATAATTATGCAGAGAAGTTATTCAAAAGTATGGAAGACAAAAACTCAAGATCTTATGATGCTATGATTCTTGCTTTACTGAAGGTAAGTCCGTGTGTGTTCAAGGATCACAGAAATATTTACTGAATGAGATGAGAAACTGTAAATCGGTTTCATATGACGTGACAGCTACCTTATTGGTGTACCTTCGACAATGATAACTTTGTCATTAGTTTCTTTTGTTAGGTACATGTACACCAAATGTAGCCGCCATCTTGTCAGTTAACTTTCTAGGGGCCGAGTTATTAACGGTGTATTGTATTTGATATTTTGATGAAGAAATGAATGAATGGTTGAATGAATGACTGAGCGAGTGCGTGTCAGAATAAAAAAATGGATGAATGAATGTTTAAATGAATAGACCTTATTCGTGGTGTGACAATGTTTTCCCATTTGAACGTGACAAGCCTCTAGGGGAATGAACAGCTATTGTTTTGAAACTCTTCAGGATATCATCGTTATTCCTTTCGTATCCTTCAGGATACTCACAAATTTTTTTAAAGAATAAGAACAAAAGAAAATGAATCTCCTAGAGATTTCTCACGCTGAAAACATTGTCACACCAGGAATAAGGTCTACAAATGCAGAATGGATAGATGAAAATACTAAATGATAYAATGATATATCCATTGTCAAATTAACTAAACAATTCTATTTTCTTGTTTAGCACAATTATCATGAAAGAGCATTTGAATTATTTGAAGATATGAGAGAACAGAATTTTCAAGGTACTGGAAGTTCTAGAATCCATAAGGCAAAAGTATAGCGTGAAATATTCCAGGAGCACTCGATGTATTGTCTGTGTTTACCTCACCTAAAGTATGCACTTGCCTTATTGCAAAAGTTGAAATTTTATGTTATTTAGAAGGAAAAAAAGAAGTGAATAATCTTTAAATTTTCCTTTTTCAAATGCCATAAAAAAAAGTAAAAAACAACAACAACAACAACAAACAAACAAAAAAGAAAGAGAAAGGTACAAAACTGAAGAACCCTGAAAAAGCCATGGCTTGTGACAAGGGATAGAACAAACATCAAAAAAATTCTAATCACAGGTGTTTTATTGCAATCTATATGTCTACATAGTGGTAAGAAACAGAGCCATTTATTGCAGTGCTTGCCACCTTATACTTTTGCTTTGTTGTTTAATTCTAATTGTCAGTGTTTTCTGTGTGTCTAACTTGCACCTTTTTTGTTATTTCACTACAGCTTCTATTTATACGTACAATGGATTAATCAACAAAAGCTATGTATTTTATGGATATGGAGAAAAATTGTGGAGTGCTGTATTGGTAAGTCATCAATTCCTGATGCATTGCTTAAGAATCATAATTTCATCTTTTTTTCAAACATTATCTACCTGTGAGGCTTCAGTTTTGTTTTGTGCCAGTGTGTTAAAGTAAATAATTTATATTATTGTTTCTGTCTTTTTACTTTTCGTGTGCATTCTTCATTCTTGTACTGCATTCATTCTTGTACTGCATATCGTCAAGTCATAAACAAAATTTTAAAAAGATTTTAGCATAAAAGGTTTTGCCAGGGGGAGGAAAACCAGATAACCCAGGGAAAAAAATCCAATCAAGGGAGAGTTCGGACAAAGTCTATTTATTGTGTTGGGTCCAGGAATCAAACCTGAGATCCCAGAGGTAAGGAAGTGCAGGAATATGCTAGCACTACCACTGCACTAACCTTCAGTTTATTCCCATCAGCATTTGTTGTGCTGTCTTGATACTTGTGCCCTCATGTTTTGGCATTTTTCACTAGAACTTGATTGAACACATGAAGCAAGAACCTGTTGTTCTTCCAGATCTCTGTAAGTGTTCTTTGAATACTCTAGTTTTTAGTTCTCTGTTGCTTCCCTACTAGCAGAGCTTCCTTCGTTGGCTTCACAGGTCCGTATTATTTTGTAGTGTTTTAAATTGGTATTTGTGAATATCTAGACACTGACACAAGGCTTATGCTCATTAAACGAGTCTAGTCATCAAGGAAAAAAGCGGTATTGTACAAATTCAAAAACGATCTATTCTGACTTTGTACTCCCAAAGGCACCATGGGCTTGTCAGTGGTAACCAAATAAAATGATCAAATATAGACACTTCTACGACAATAATTATTAACTTCATTTAGAGAGGGTAATGTGTGACAGTCTCAACTGATAAACTTGTGGCACTCTACATTGTATGTTTGATGTCTCTAAGTGAGAATGGACTGCCATTTCATAAGGTCATCCAAACAACGGCAAAGGTCTAATCATGTGGTTTCATGGTTCATGCATGGAGAAAGCAAGAGGTATAACTAGAGTGCCTGGGCCAATAGACTTGCTACAAATTTTTAGTTTAAAAGTAAAGCTTCAATTATAGTCTACTCTGAAAGAACCACTGCATTGACATTTATAATTTAATTCAGTTAGGCTTAATAAAGAAGAGAAGTTACAATTCATTGAATTTATACATCCTCAGATACTTATAATGAGATTTTAAAGCTGTGTGCTCTTATTCCTAATGGTTCTGACAAGGCTCTTGAAGTGTTTAGAGATATGTGCAGTAAAGGAATTGGTAAGACAAATTATAATATTATAACTAGAATGAAAAGTATAGAAAGCACAGCCACGATATATATTTGATTAATAAATTGATTTACATCCTTTCATTCGACATGTAGCCACCAATCTATCCTTGCCTTCTTTCTTTTTTCTATCTATCCATTCAACAATCAATTTTCCATCCATCCATCAACTGTCCATCCTTCAATCCATCCACTGTCCATCCATCCATCCATCCACCATCCATCCATCCATCCATCCATCCATTCATCCATCCAAACATCCATCCATTCATTCTGTTCAATCTTTCATGTACATGTAATTACAAGTTAATAAGTAATTTCCAATTTCAGAGCCATCCTTAGCTACATTTAGTCGTGTTCTCAGAGCTGAATACTACAGAGACAGGAGCATGGCACTGTATGAAAATGGTGAGTTCATTAAAAGCATCTCCATTTGGGCACACTTAATTAATGGTCTTGCTTAGTTGTGTGACCCTCACCATACATTTAACACCCTTTTTTAGTTTATTGTCTTTTATTTTAGTACAAGTTGGAAGTTATTAAAATAAGTAAACAAACAAACAAACAAAAAAACAAACATACATACAAATGAACAAACAAATGAAAAAACAAAGAAACAAATGAATCATCCTTTTCTAGTTTATTGTCTTTTATCTTTCATGTAGTACATGGTTGAAGTTATTAGATAAATAAACAAAGAACAAACAAACAAACAACTGAACAAACAAACAAACAAATTGATAAACTAATAAATCAAAATAGCGTCAATTAAACTCCATGGTCTAAATCTTGATTTTTTATCAGAAGATGAGGGAGATTTAAAACTTAAGCAAAATACCAACAACAGTGTCCTTCAAGCCATTATCAGCCACTTGGAAACATATGACAAGCTACCAGGATTGAAGCATTCATCTGATAGTATGTATTTTAATACTCCAGATTTGAATTCCTTGTTGCTCAGGGTTACCCTCGACTTGTGTAGAATATTCATGTCTTCCAGGTCTATGGAATGTAATGGAAATGCATTGATTGATGTCCATCAAAACCTACTTTGTCACGATGGCAAATTGTATGATTTCACTTGTGTGATTGAGAAGCACTGTAAAAGTTGTACATTCTTTACCTTGCTGTTGAGTATTAATTTTGTGAATATTTATACACTGGTATGAGGCTAAGCCTGAGCAATTAAGTCGATAATCAAAGAACACAGTGGTAACTTGCAACTCAAAAAAGGTCTGTTATCATCATACCATGAGTCGGGGGGGGGGGGGGGAAAAAAAGGACCATTAAAAGGGGGGGGGGGGGGGGGGGGGGGGGGGGGGAGAATACAGTGCATGTACAATGTGGTGGAGGGAGGGGAGGGAAGGAGAGGGAAGAACAAGAAAGAAATGGAGAGGGGAGGCATGAGTTGTCGAAATGAATGGCAAAGAAAGTTCTAAAAATTAATGTGATGTCAGGAAAAAGATAGACGGGAGAATGTGTTGTAATGGTAAGTGAAGGGAGTAAGGAGATTGGAGTCAACAGAGATTTCACACAAGAATTATAGAGTCATGTGAACACTTCATATGCAAGTTAGGCATGCTGTTTAACTATTAAGTAAACAAACAATGCCGCAAAAACCGTCACCACTTTCTTTCTTTTCATTTTTCAGTCAAATTTTTCAACACTGCCATGGGATCAGTAAGTTTAACTACGAAACAAAATGTTGGTTGGAGATCTGAAACCTAAACCTGGTGGCATATTTAGCTATTGCTTGTTGGAAGTACTAATTTTTAAATAAATTGTTAAGACCTTCCTTCATATCTAAATTCACAGCTCACAGCCCAAAACTCATTAATTTCAGTCTCAGATTTCAAATCTCTGACAAAAGCATTTTTTGAAATAGGACTGGTGTAGTTTCTTCAGTTGACATCGTTCTCTAGATTTATGAATCAGCCTTCACAATTTTGATTTGTTCTTATCATTCTGTTTATAGGCACTTTTTTGCCAAGATGCTAATGCAGCTCACAGACTCTATGCGTTGGCAGAGACCAATGACAAAACTCTGCTAGGACAAAAAAGAGGATTATTCTAGTAAGTATGTTAGAATAATTGCTTGATTCTGGCTCAAATTAACCATGAAACCTCTCTTCCCCCTACTAAATAGACCCCTTGCAACTCAATGCAGCTCAATTTGGGGGGCAAAACAATAGGCTTTCAATTATCTGGTGATTGAAATTCTTTTGTTTTTTCCTCTGAACTGAATCCCTTTAACGTCAAGTGCAAGGGGTCTATACATTCCAGTTTTTAAGTAGGTTTTCTGTTGCTCAAGATTGTGTGGAATTTCAAAGTAATGCTGACGTTGTGCATTTTCATGAGCAATGTACTCAAGGATCACAGTATTACTTACTAAATTTGAGCAGTGACTTTTTTCTGTTTCTCATTTCCATCTCATTTTCTCTCATCAGTGCAACGTTTTTAGTAACATTAGCCCAGTCAGAGAAAAGTGCTGAGATTGTCTATCACATGTACAAGGAGCTTGTTCCTGCGGTAAGTTAAACTTTCCACTCATTTTTCCATTTCTGAAAATTTGTTTTGCACCACGACATGGCTGACGTACATACTGTATGCGGTCAGCAATACACTGTGTTGTTGCCTTTTCCATCAAACTAAGATGCAAACAAGTTTTGAATTAAATTTCAAGTTAATGTTTTCATTTTCAAAGCTTGTGGCACTTTGCTACTATTAGGCTATAACGTATAGCTTAGTAGTAGCTCATCCAATCAGAACGCAGCATTGATAGACCACTAGTTGGATTTGACGAAAATATAAATTAAGTATATCATTTCATCAACAGAAACTCATCCCACAAAGCTGGGTCTACAGTGAACTATTTAGAATGGTAGAAAGAGAAAAGATGCCCAGACTTGTTCCAAAACTTTATCAAGGTAATGTTAAAGCTGTACAAATGAGAGTTTAGTCATAAAACACACCATTATTTTACTGATTGAGAAAAAGCTTAAAGGACTATTGAATCGAATTTAGCATTATCATGGGATTATTGCAGGGGGACCAGAAAACCCTGTGTAAACCTCAATGGTGATGAGGAATCCAGGAATGTAACTCAAGACCCCAGAGGAGAGGGGTCAAGTGCAGTTACCACTAGTCTTGTCTTGATTCTGCTTCAAAAATCCTGCCTAGGGTTAAACCTCGATTTTATGTATAAGATTGAATAATTCTTTTGTTTCAGTGAAGGTCTGTGTTCAAAGTTCAACTGTCGATATCTGTAATTTTATTTGAAATGAGGGTGACCTCAAGTAAGGGGATATTTTATGAATTTAAAAAAAAGTCTATTTACTTCAATGCAGTTTTTTTATCCATCCCAGACATGAAGCGTTATAGAGTACCAATCAATGAACAAACTTGCAGAGGAATATTTTCAGCTTTAGCAAGAAGAACATCTCCCAAGGTATGACAGAGTACTGACAGTAGATTGAACCTCTTTTAAGCAGCCACAGTACTTGGCAAATAGTCTACTCAGATTGTCAATGAAAAGTAATAATTGGGTTGACATACTGTATTTGAGGTATAAATTACTGCAAATACCCTCTTTGTGGGTTTGATTAGTGGCTGCTAAAAAGAGTTGGTTCAAATAGAGGGCGTTAGTTAGTAAATAGTCACCCATTTTGGGGAAAAATGGCTGCTTTAAAATTTAGAATCTAAGCACTTCTATTAGTTAAATTAATTAATATGTAAAACCAATATTTATACCTTTATATTTTTCATTATTTCAGAATCACAAGCAGTATATAGAAATTATGACCGATGTGTTTTTCTGGATGAAAAAATTTAATATACCGTAAGTAGGCTACTCTAACTTATATTATTATAAGTTTTTTAACTGCAATAAAATCTAACAATGATCATAGAATCAGTACTCTGCTGCAGGGAGCTCGGCTCAGAGATGTTACACATATTTTTTTCATTTGCAATCAATCAATCAATCAATATTTATTTAGTACATCATTCTGACATCTCCACCATGTTGTTATTAATACTACCAACATGGCCACCATATCTTTTACCATTTTCATGTTATATCATTCTGACATCTCCACCATGTTGTTATTAATACCACCAACATGGCCACCATATCTTTTACCATTTGCATGTTA